CCTTCCTTCCTTCCTTCCTTCCTTCCTTCCTTCCTTCCTTCCTTCCTTCCTTCCTTCCTTCCTTCCTTCCTTCCCTCCCTCCCCCTTTTCCCCTTTCCCTTCCCTCCCTTCTAAATTTGGCTGAGGACAACTGCCTTGAAATGGAAGCTCCCCATCTACAGAAACAATGGTATTGGTAATATATCAAGATTATACAACCCCTTGACCATCATTCCATTTGACTGAGAAGGGGTTCATCTCACACCAAAACCAGGACTGTACCTTATACATAGTAGAAAGCATATTACTGAGCAATATCTAACTACACCACTGAGTTGGACAATGCCATGTAGCTGTTTCCTACTGCATGGGTAGGCAACACTATTGGACATTGGCTGAAATTTATACACATTGTAGCCTACAGCATCTGGAAGACATCAGGTTGCTTACCCCTCTGAACTGTTCTGCTATTTCTGGCTGGAAACAACAGGCCAGGGGAAAACAGGATCAGAGGGTCCATTTATAAGAAAGGAGCTGAAGATGAGGAAGAGAAGTAGTTGGTCATGGGAAGGAAGGAATAAGCAAGTACCACAGATTTCCCCTTGACCTGGAGACTTGTAGCAACCTTTCTTCTAGTTCTCCATTTTGAACCATCAAAAAGCCAGACAAGCATCAAAGGAAAGCTTACAGATTCCTGAGCCAACAGAACTTCAGATACATTTTTACTTTCACTAGGGCCACAACCTTGGGGCACTCTTGGAAGGATCTTCTTCCTTCTTCCTTCTCCATCTGCCTCTCCTACAAGGCTCACCAACGTACCAGGGTCTGCAGGGGGAGTTAAAAAGGGAAAGTTGGTGGTTGCAGCACTGCCATTGAAGCCTCACCCTATTGTACATACACGAGATGTCAACAAGTTACAGAAAGGTCAGGATTTCAATGGTGCTGCTGTGAACATCATCTTGCCTTTTTGCAGCAATTGTGTTTCATGAAAAATCTGGAACAATGGTTCCCAATCAATACCCAGGGATGACTGGTGCTCCACAAGGACTATGTAGATATCAAAATGAAAAGAAATATAAAGAATAAAATAGTAATGTTAAGTAAGTTTTTTAACGTCAGTAGATAAACATATTTTGCATTATTTTGGCCTTCCCACTGAAAATCTTGTGCATTTTGGTGATCTCATAAAATTTTAGATTTTTAAAAAAAATAAGATTTATTTAATTTGGAAATCATGTAAGTACCAACTGGAGGTATAGTAAGTGTCTTGTGCTACCTCCTAGCTTCCAGAGTTGTCCTCTTAAGAGCTGAATTATGAAGCAGAGATCCACAGTAAGGGAAACATTGTAGACAAAGAAGATGCTGACCTGCCTTATGTGATCAAGGATCAGCGTGTTCTTTGTTTGGACAGTTTAACTAATGCTGTACTGATTTTTTTTCCCCTCCTATATTTCCCCCCTACCATTTTTCCTTCTGTTTAATGTGAAAAAATGATTTAGAAAAAGAGGTGTTGATAAAATTTTCATGAGCTGAGGGCAGGATTTTTATGCCTATCTTAATTTGTAAAGTGGCTTGGGATAGGTCTATGTGTGAATGCTCTATTTTTCACTATATAATCTTCCTTCATAGTCTACCATCTCCCTGGCTTCCCACATTTCAACTAAATCTCCCAAAAAAACTCATGAGAAAACTTCTTAAATCTCATGAGAAAACTTCTTAAATAGAGTTTTTTTCAGATCAGGAAGTATGGGAAACTATGTAGTAGGGGCATTGTCAGAAAAATCAAGGTGGTTGGTGGCTTTGAACTCATAGTTATCATTGCCATCTTGACTTTTCTGGCCCTTCCAGTGGTTGCACCTCCCGTGGATGCCCCTGCTCCAGACACAAAGAGAGATGTAATAGGAAAGAGGGCATCTTCTTTAACTCTCAAAAAGATGCACCCCAAAACAGGATGCAGATAGGAATTCAAAGGCTGTGTAAAAATGAGGTAGAAAAACAGAAGCCTCTTTTGTAGGGGAAGAAAACTTTCAGGAAGCTGGAGAGCAGATTTTGGCACAGTATTTATATTCCGGCTTGGCTGAAGTAGCCCAGTTGGTGTCTTCAATGATACAATTTGCTTTGTCAAAGTGCTTTGCCTCTCTCTCAGAGGTGTCTTCTGCTGCTTGTAGGAGAGATGGTTTACTTTGTTCTTCAGAAGCTGGGAGCCACGTTGCTCTTGAAGCCCCTTCAAAGGGGCGCTTGCTTTCCTTGAAACTTTGTCACAGCCTTGCCCATTTTAGACCCTGGGGAAATGCAGGACAAGGGCTGTGACTAACCTTGAGAGAAGCAAGAATATGGATTTTAACAGAGTACAGATAACAAGACATTCAACATTCTGGGAGATGTAAGGGAAGTTAAGCCAATCTAACTCCGTGTCTGGTATAGTCAGGACCTGCACAGCAGCAGGTAGAAGTGGGCTATGGGCGAGTGATCTAAAAATGAAGAGTTGGCGGCTGTCTGCTTCCATCAGTCCATCCTCATGAGGGGACTTTCTGTTTGCCTTGGGCCAACAGAGTTTTCAGGCTGGCGTGTCTACCCATGGACTAACAAACTCCTTGTTAGCCAAAGGGTAGATTGTACCAATGGAGTTTTCAAGGGGCTAATTCATGTTAGCCAATGGCTAGATAAGGCTGAGTGGATTTTCAGAAGCCAGGCCCATCTGAAATACAATTCCATGTTAGCTAGCATATTGGTCTGATAAGTCATTTTCTAAACCCAGATTTAATTCTGGAATGAATGGGGCTGTTCTGTTCCCAGGTCATTTTGTCAGGGCAAAAGGCTACTTCATCTAAAGCACACTGTTCTTCCCCCTGCTCTCTATCTCATTTCTCAGAAATCCATCTGCACTGTTGGTCTAGGGCTATATCTAATGGGAGATCTCCAAACCTCATCTTGCTTTGGGGCCCCCAATTCCTTAAACTGTCCCTAGGTATTGTGAGAGAACTCTTAATCCAGATGTTTTTGGGATCTTTTCATCTGTTTCAGTTGCGGTGGATGGTTATTGGAATTGCTGGGGTTCATGGAGTCCCTGTGATAGTTCCCATAAGAGGCGGAGGAGCCGCACCTGTAACAACCCCTCCCCTCTGAATGGAGGGAAGCCATGTGAAGGCGACCGAGAGCAAGAGGAAGGATGCTACTTCTCCATATTTGTTGACAGGTAAGTATGTAATAGTCACAGTGTTTTAGAAAAAGGCTGTAGCTCAGAAGAACAGCTCTTTCTTTGCATGTAGAACATCTTGGATTCAATCCCTTGCATCTTCAGATAAATCTGTGAAAAGACCTGCACTCAGTCACTGCCAGTCAATCCTTCTTCTTCCCAGTGACAACAATTAAAGGACAAGAAACAGAATGGCCATCAAAAGAGATCAGAGATCAAGCTGTTTATGAATTTAATTCCCATTCCTCATTAGAAGCTCAAACTAAAAAGCCTTGCAGCACCTCCAGAAGTCTTTGATGAACTTCCAGGCCAGGAATAGTTAACTGGCTACCTTCCATAAACCTTTGATCCCAGAATTTTTCATTATGGCCATGCTGGTTAGGACTTATGGGAGATGTAGTTCATATGGAAAGTACACATCACTTCCTCCTTCTTTGAGCACTTTCGAGGCAGATACCAAAATCTCTGAAACCTGGTGCATATCAAGTGTATGGCAGATGGGGAGTTTTGACCACTCTTTGTTCCCTTCGTTGGTCTGTTTGTTCTTTCCTTCTCCACCTTCTGAGACAGAGCAGCCAGGATAATTATGTAAAAGACCACTCTCTGTTCATGGCTAGGATCATCTGATGTGCAGGATTTCTTGGCAGCCATCTTAGATCCAGAAAGGGAATTAACAACATGTCTCCCAGCAGAGTTCACTGTTACTTCGGCTGTACTGTCATGCAGTTCAAAATAATGCTATACAATACAATACAAATACTTTAATGACCAAGTATAAAATATATACAAGAAATTTGTCTTTGGTGATGAACAGCTACTCTTCAAAAGATCCTGTGGCTGATTTCGAAGCACCACACATGAGTCCACAGAGTGCTAATACAAGAGCACTGTTTCACAAGATTCTGAAGTAGTTGCCCTTTTTTCTGGCCAAGGCGCCACCACCATTTCTGGGACAATATGGGGAGGCTAGATTGAAGCATAAAAGGCTTAGTGGGCTGCTCTATAAGCCAGTGCTTGTCAGTCAGCACTAGGGTTTGCACTGAATCAGCAGTTAATGATGAAGTAATGCTGACACAGCTGTGTCCAAGTGTTCCCTCCACCCTCTGTTTCAGGTTGGCCTTTAATCCCACTTCCAAAAATGTTGTAGTACCAAGATAAGCCATATCTGTCAGGCCTAGCCCAAGGAACTCCAAGAGATCATGCAAATTC